CAGTACCTCATAAAGAAAAATGAATTTGTATCTCTAATGAATCTGAACAGAAACCTGATGAAATTCCCTGATGTGCTAACATGAAAATATGAGTGTGGGAGTGTGTACATGCCTGCTCTATGTCCGTTTTCTTTACTGTAAAAGGAAATAATGCATTCCTCTTATCAGTATTTCCTCATAGAGACAATAAGGAAGTCAAAACTTTTTTCAGTGTGGGTGTTTGTTATGTGACCTGGTGTTACCAGTATTGTATATATTGTACCAGTATAAGTATATGTATTGTTGATGTGTTACATGATGTGACGTATGTGTTACATGACATGAAGTATATGTTAATTCCATTCCAAGCAAAATCTATCCTTACTCAACCTTACTCAAAACTTAATCCTAACCCCTCACCCTGGCCGTAATCCTAAACCTAATCCTAACCTCAACTCAAAACCTAATCCTTACCCTCACCCTGACCCTGACCCTAACCACAACCTCAACCCAAAACCTAATCCTAACCCTCACCCTGACACTAATCCTAACCGCAACCTCAAACCAAAACCTAATACCAACCCTCAACCTGGCCCTAATCCTAGTCCTAACCTCAACCCAAAACCTAATCCTAACCGCAACCTCAAACCAAAACCTAATACCAACCCTCAACCTGGCCCTAATCCTAGTCCTAACCTCAACCCAAAACCTAATCCTAACCCTCACCCTGGCCCCCTAACCTTAACCAAAACCTAATCCAGTTAAACTCCACTGATATGTTGTTGATGTGTTACTGAGAGCGTTGAGTGTTTATTTCATCAATATAGGACCACTCAAAATAAAGTGTCACCAAACGGACAAACAGACTGGTTCCACCATACCTGTTCGACCTCTATACAGAATAATCAGACAAACATGACTGGAGGAAGATGATGGAGCATTCAGGATTGGTGGAAGAAACATCAATAACCTTTGGTACGCAGATGCTACAACACTCACAGCAGAATATCTGGAAGACCTGAAGGCCCTTATAAGGAAGGTTAAAAAAAGGGGAAAAGTTTGAAGAAGAGGAACGAGGTTATGATGACAGGAAAGACCACAAACTTTAGAGGACCCTACAAGGTTTTCTAGTATATTTAGTAACATTTAGTGGTCTATTGTGTCAAATGCCGTACTAAGATCAAGGAGGACTAGCAAAGACACATTTCCTTGGTCAGAGAACAATAAAAGATTTACAATTTTCACCAGTGCTGTCTCTGTACTATGATGTGGCCTAAAATGGTTTTTTTCATGTATATGATTCCTATGCAAATAGGAACTTAATTGTTTTGCCACAACTTTTTCCAAGATCTTTGATATAAAGGGGAGATTCGAGATAGGTCTATAATGTGATGGTATCAGCATCACTGACATTCATTGTCCAAAAAGTCACATAATTTTAACTAGTTAATATTGTTGAAGTATAATATTGTTGATTCCAGCCTCTCTGCAGTAGCTCGAAGATCTAGACTGGCATTATAAGGCAGCAAGTTTGTAGAGTTTAACCTATCTCATAGAAAACAATAAGAATAATCCTAGATTATTATTTAGCACAATTTCTAAACTATCTAAGAACCAAACAGTTGCTGAACCCCAGATGCCATTAGCCTACAGCAGCAATGATTTCATGAATTTTTTTAGTGATAAAATTGAAGAAATTAGGCAGAAAATTCAGAACATATAGTTAAGCGTGCTGCAGTAAGTGCTCTTCTATTGTTTATAAGGCTCTCCCTCCAGGCGGACTGGAATACTAGTTTAGTCAGGCACCACTTTCGTTCTAGTTGTCCGACAGTCTGTTTTAAAGCTCGAGTATGATCATTACAACATGGGGCAAGCTTTTTTCTGCCTTATTATTTCACTTTTAAATGGAGCCACACTATCTAGAGTAGATCAAAAAGTATCCTCTAAGCACTTGGTCATGATATCTAATTTGGTAGGATTAGATGGACAGCTGATAGAAGCTGATAATTGTGGGAGGTTTCTGATACAGCTACCATCTGTGGAGGAAGTTATAGTCCCCTTAACATGACAGCATGGTGATGAACATACATTACCACTAAAGCCAATTTCATACGAGATTAAGTAAGGATCTGAGACTGCTGTGCTCTGGGGGAGAATGGCTAAATGATCTACAAAATTAAAATTAAAATGATCTTTTAATTGTACGCCAAAGGTCAGAATTAAATCTAAAGTGTGGCTGCAATAAGGAGTGGGCCCCTTTATATTTTGAGTGAAACCTACAGAGTCAAAGATAGATATAAATGCCTTACTTAGTGGATCATGTGGTTTATCAAAGTGGATATTAAAATCTCTGAGTTATTATTTTATTTGAAAATGTTACTAAACTTGGTAGAAAGTCAGAAAAATTCCTGTAAGAACTGAGAATATGGCCTGGCGGCCTATAGGTTGTAATTAGTGAAAAGGTATTCTTATTTGTTCCTTGATCACTTATATTAAGAAAAAGAATTTCAAAAGAAGAGAATTTGTAGCCTACTTTCTGGCTCACGCCTAAAGCTTTTGTATGGACGGTTGCTATACCTCCACCCCGGACGCTTAAACGAGGGCTGTGCCCCGACTCAAAAGACCAGGCTCGCCCTTAAAAGTACACCAATTGTCTACAAATCCCACATTGTTTTCTAAGCAATGGTATGTCTGTGTAGCCCAGGATCTAAAAACATATGGCATTTCTGATTGTCTCATGTAAATACTTTATAACTGCACTTGTAATTGTAACTGACCCAAAATACAAAATCCCCACAATTTGATAGTAAAATACCGGTAAAGTTAATGCAAGTTTCTCTGTAAGTTTCTCGCTATTTCACATCAAACCTTTGTGAATAAGTTTGTACACACCTCAACCACTGATTCATGTAAAATAGTAGAAAAATCTAATCTTTGGGACTGTTTTGCTTCTCAATGCCCTGCATGTATCTTTCTGACATGAATGCATTTAAAATAAATACATTATAGAGAGGAAAAAGTTAAAAATGTTAAATGTTTAACTAAATTTTCAGCAGAAATTGTTGAAGGATACAGTTTCTTATAGGCAAAAAAGACACACCCCAAAAAACAAAAAAACAACACACACTAAAAAATTGCAGTCAATGAAGCAGCAGCCTTTTTATCTGCCCGCCCCCAACCACCCACAAGCTGAGTGAACAAGATCATTTCTTAACAGAAGGATAGTAGGTATAGATCACACACAGGACGTACTACCAGTCTCCACCCTGCAACCACCCACACAAACTAGGCTGATTGAACAAGATCATTTCTTGATAGAAGGATGATATGTACAGGTCACGTACAGGACGTACTACCAGTCTCCACCCCCCAACCACCCACACAAACTAGGCTGAATGAACAAGATCATTTCTTGATAGAAGGATGATATGTACAGGTCACGTATAGGACGTACTATCAGTCTTCTTACTTTTTTAAGATAATGAAGTACAATAAGTTCAATATTTATAGACTGGCATCTGAGCTCTGTGACTTTTTGGACAATGAATGTCAGTGATGCTGATACTATCACATTATAGACCTATCTCGAATCTCCCCTTTATATTAAAGATCTTGGAAAAAGTTGAGGCAAAACAATTAAGTTCCTATTTGCATAGGAACCATATACATGAAAAGTTTCAGTCTGGTTTTAGGCCACATCATAATACAGAGACAGCACTAGTGAATATTGTAAACGATCTTTTAATATTCTCTGACCAAGGAAACGTGTCTAGTCTTCCTTGATCTTATATGCATATAACAACATATTACTAGAACAGCCTTCCTGCATCTCCGCAATATTGCTAAGTTAAGAAATGCATTATCTCTACAGGATGGAGAAAAGTTAGTTCATGCATTTATTACTTCAAGGCTGTATTACTGTAATGCCCTGCTGGCTGGATGTCCCAGCAAAAGCCTTAACAAGCTTCAGCTTGTCCAGAACGCTGCAGCCAGAGTCTCACAAGAACCAGAAGGTCTGACCATATCAGCCCAGTTTTATCAAATCTACAATGGTTGCCAGTTAAATTTCGCATTGATGACAAAATTCTATTACTGACCTATAAAGCTGTAAACGGACTCGCCCCTCAGTACTTGAGTGAACTTCTCCCGCACTATGAACCATCACGCCTACTTAGATCACAAGATGCTGGCTTACTATTAGTACCTAGAATTAGTAAAGTTACATCAGTGGGGAGAGCCTTCTCATACAAAACTGTTTATACTGTAATCTGTGATCAGTCATTACAGAACTAACTCTCTGTGTATTTTTCCTTTCTTTGCCGAGTTGAACAGCTGCCCATCCTGTGCGTCTGATGCTGTTGCTTCTTCTGCCCTGATCTGGTGCCACTGCTCACCAGCTGACTTGATATTTGCTTCTGTTCTCATGCATTCATCAGAAACAAACAGCTGTCTTCATATTATTGTATTAAATGAATCATTTAGCCTCAGTCAACAAAAGGCTCATCAGACCATGCTATTCTTGACCAGATGTGTTTTTTAATTTTGTAGTTTGTAAGGTCACATTAAAGATGAAGGTAAGCCTGACCCATGTTTGGTGTTAAGACCGACTCATTTGGTGTTAAGACAGTCTGATTTGAAATTGAGACAGATGCATTTGGCAAGTTTATTTATTGTTCTTACACTACTGTCATTCAAAGTGCTTTACAAATGAGGAAATACAAAGTCATTTAAAAAGTAAAAGAGAATAGAAAAACTTAAAGTGAAGGAGAATAGAGATCAAAATCATGATTAAAACAATGGATTTTAAAACAGAAAAATCATTAAATAAAAAAAGAAAAATTAAATAATAATTATAAATTTAATGAAAAACTAATTAGGATAATTAATTAATCGGAATTAAGACCAACCCATTTGTGAGCAGTTGGGTTAAGACCGACCTGTACGAACTACGACGGATCTGTTTGGAATTAAGACAAACCTGTTTGAGGTAAATCCTCCTATATGAGTTGATCCAGCCTGCAGGAATACATTGTGACAAGACGGAGAGACCGCAGAACGTTAAAGCGAGAGGAAAGGAAAGGAGCATCCTGCAGCTTTGTCGGTGAAAAAAGGTACGTTTCATAGCTTAAAAATGGCATATGTGCCTTTACCAGACCAGAAGACAAAAAGGGTTATTAGCCTTGCGATACCATAATCCAAATCAAAAGCTCTTTGTATATTCAGCACCTTAGTCACAAACAGCTCTTTTGTTCAGAAGGCGCTCGAGCAGGCTGCTGTGTTTGTTCAGTAAAACAGGACGAGAGCACTCTGTCCCTCAGAGAAAATTAAGCTGGCGCAGGTACCTCTACTGTTGGAAAGCACTTTACTCACTCATATGTGTGAAGATTCATGTCCAAAAGTAGTTTGACTTTCAAAGAAAATGCGTATATATTTTATTAATGACATTTTGGTTACTTTAATTGCTAATACTGCTAAAATGACGGGCGTCCCCCAGTTTCAGCCACCTCTCCTGGGAGACTGCCCGGGTGCTCTGTAACTCAGCTGCCTTCTTAAATTAGTGTACTGTGTTTACAATGAAATTAAGTTTGTCCACTGTGGCACTCTTCCTCTGTATATGGAACACTAGTTACTTCGGCAGTGAACTTCTCACTTCAGATGAAGAAAGCTAAATTAAGTTAAACAGTGTTGTGTGTACCTGCAGTTTTGTACAAACACAATTACAACATTGTTAGAGATACTCAAATATAGTTTTCAGATCTGATTTTTTGCAAGAATAAAGTTTAAACACCCTACTAAGGCGGGGCTCAAATTGTTTGAATTTCTTCATAGTGATTGGTGAAGAGAGAGAGGGGACATACGTAATATGTGAAAAGACCTGATCTGTCATTGTTTTGCTGGGTTTGAATAAAGTACTATAATATTTTCATGTGTATTTTCTGCAGTTTCTGTAACACGATTCATTAAATGTTGAAAGGTTTATAATTATTATAATTTTTTTTTTATATTTATTTTAAGACATAGACAAGGTGAAGTATCAGTTAGCAGGCTAGCCTGTAAGCATCCACACTGCTCACACTTTTCTTTTGTTGCTTTTCAGAGTAAAAGACTTGAGGAAAACAGAAGTCAGGTTAAATAAATCCATGTATGAGTGTAATTGCCTAATGTTTAAGCAAGAGATGGACTGTGCGTGTGTGTGGTGTGTGTGTGTGCGTGTGCACGTTGCTCCATAATCAGCCGCTCCCTCACAGCCTCTCAGGACGGCAGCAAACTACAGTAAACAGCGCACTGTCAGATATTTCAACTACCAAACAGAGAGTGAGAGAGTAAAGTGAGTAGAAGCAGGTCGTCTGCCAACTTACATGTCCGTGCAGCCTGCAGCGGAGGTGATGACAGGTGTCTCTACCCTATGATAGGTCAGAGTGGTGTGAGAGAGAAGGAAAACACCTGAAGACATTATGCAGAATAATTTTCCCCACTTGCTGCAACACAGTGATGCAATCAAACGGCAAACAGACAGTGTTTAGAAGTGGGCAGAAATCACCACGCCTCCATGAAGGATTATGGAGAAATAAGAATTTTGTTTTTTGAATGACATAATACAATGTGACTATACACATAAAATAATAAGATAAAAAGGTCAATTTTAAGTTTAGGTTGACTTTAAAGTTTAAAAGAGTATTTAATTAATAAACTGCACTACTTTTACATTTGAATACACCCCTCCTCACATCCAATCAGTTATCAAAACTTTCACTGAAAAATTTTACATTTTACTCACTTCTCTTGAGAGAAGGCCGCTTCCCTGAACCTCTATATCTTTCACAATTGACATTAGTGGTGAACCCAGTTTATTAAGATGTAATGGATGTGTGTAAGGGGTGAACCTGGTTTGTCCAGTTCACATGGCTTTACTGACTGCACATAGTTCTGCTATTGCTGGCAACTGGGGCAGCCTGTGATCTGTGTGGCAGAGCTTATAAAAGGAAGCAAGTTTTAAAATTGTGTATGAGGAGAAGATATTCTATTTCTATTCTATTCTAGTTATTCTATAGCTATTCGTTTGCGTTCCTGACTGCATGAGATCATAAGTCCTACCACACAACGCAATAAAATATGTTACTACTCTGAAAACATTGATAAGTTTGTACAAGCTCCAGAGATATGGAGTTGAGATAAAACATACAAATCAAATTATTGGATTATTTTGTGGAAATTATTTGTAGTTTGCCATTTACAACAGAGATTCTAAAACTTTGGGCATGAAATGTGAAAAGTTTTGGTTTTTGTTTAAAAGACTGACAAAACACCATGCAGCAGCAACTTCAACACCGATCTGCTAATTTCCAAAGGCAAGACAGCAGCAGTTAATGTACCCAGAGGCTTATTTGCATTATTAGTAAAAAGTGGTAAATGACCTCTTATTATTCTCTGACCAAGGAAATGTGTCTTTGCTAGTCCTCTGCAATCTTAGTGCAGCATTTGACACAATAGACCACGCTATCTTAATAGACAGACTAGAATACTTTGTAGGGGGAACAGGAACATCTCTTTCCTGGTTCAGATCTTACCTCACTGATTGCTATCAGTTTGTTCATTTAAACGGTGAATCATCTGCCCTCAAAAGTAAAGTATAGTCGTCCACAAGGCTCTGTTTTAGGACCTGTATTATTCACAACATATATGCTACCACTGGGCACCATTATCAGTAAATACGGCATAAATTTCCACTGTTATGCTGACGACACTCAGTTATATATATCAAGCGAACTGGAGGATAAAATTAAACTTAGCAGGATTGAGGACTGTATAAAAGACATTAAAGACTGGATGTTGAGTGACTTTCTCCTCCTTAACTTGGAGGTTCTGCTTCTTGGTCCGAAAGCAGCCAGAAACAAACTGTCTGATTTTACACTTAAACTTAACAATTTCTCAGTAGCTTCAAGCTCATCTGTAAAAAATCTTGGTGTCATTATAGACCCTGATCTGTCCTTCGATATATATATAACTAACATTACTAGAACAGCCTTCCTGCATCTCCGCAGTATTGCTAAATTGAGAAATGCATTCTCTCTACAGGATGAAGAAAAGTTAGTTCATGCATTTATTACTTCAAGGCTAGACTACTGTAATGTCCTGCTGGCTGGATGCCCCAACAAAAGCCTTAACAAGCTTCAGTTAGTCCAGAACTCTGCAGCCAGAGTCTCACAAGAACCAGAAAGTTTGACCACACCAGCCCAGTTCTATCAACCCTACACTGGTTACCAGTTAAATTTCGCATTGATGACAAAATTCTATTACTGACCTATAAAGCACTAAACGGACTCGCCCCTCAGTACCAGAGTGAACTTCTCCCCCACTATGAACCATCACGCCTACTTAGATCACAAGGTACCGGCTTACTATTAGTACCTAGAATTAGTAAAGTTACATAAGGGGGGAGAGTCTTCTCATACAAAGCCCCCCGGCTTTGGAATAATCTTCCTGTTAATGTTCGGGACTCAGTCACAGCCTCAGTGTTTAAGTCTAGGCTAAAAACTTGCTTGTATAGTCAAGCCTTTGGTCATTAGTTTTCCCTGTCAGATCCAGACCTGACGGAGTCTCTGCTGCTCTGTTTATACTGTAATCTGTGATCAGTCAGTCATTACAGACTCTTTGTGTGTGTTTCCTTTCTTTGCACTGGCGACGCTCATGAGGGTTTGGACCCGGAGTTCTTTAATGTTGATTTTTCAGTAAAGCTGCTTTGTGACAACACCTGTTGTAAAAAGCACTATATAAATAAACTTTGCTTGCTTGCTATTTCATATTATGGTTACTCCAGTACTGCACTTTCAGCTCCAGATATGATGTTACATAGTGGCTGAGAAGCTATGTAGCTACTGTACCTTGTGTTTTAGTGTGTAACAGAAGATAGTTAGAAATCCTCACATACTATGGCTAAACGTCAAATGGCCCCCTACGTAGTGCACTGCATAGGTGTGGCCGAATGACTTGTAGAATATCTAACCGTGATTTTTCTGACCAATATTGAACTTGCGATTTAAAAAAAAAAATCCTTTAAATAAGCTCCAGAACATTGTCGCCAGGAAGACCAGCATATCCATATACACACACTGTATGTAGTGTGCCAGTCTGCCAGTTCACAAGCTATCAGGTTTATTTTTCTACTTAAGACTTCTTAAAACTGTAAATTAATGTAGACTATATTTAAAATGGCAGCTCTTGCGATTTGAAAATTGCATCTAGCCTATGTGATCATGAAACAAAACATGAAGTCTGTGGTGTGGTCGAGTGTTGGCTGATAGACGGAGCCATACGCACGAGCGGCTATTCAGTACAAGATATACATGTTTATCAGCAGCCCACAGCACCGAAATATACTGAAAGAACCAAAATGTTACCATAAATACAAATAGTTTCTCTGTTAAAAATGGTTTCACTCAAAAAATGGGGAGTGAGAAAGCTTTCATTGTTCAAACAGCCATAATGACAGCAAGGTAAAAGTAAAGCCTGAAACTCGATGCTGTTGAGCTGCTTTTATGTAAATACGTGTGTGTGTGTAGCTTCTTCTGTTTTCTTTGGGAGGAATCTCAGTTCAGTCATGTTCAAAAAATCTCTCTCTCAAAACCAGCTTAGACCAGCTTTCCAAAACTGACTCAGACCATCTTTACAGGAAACTGGGTTACATCTACAGAACAAAACCGCAGCCCATTAATTTGTGGTTTAATACCACATTCAACAGAATCAGGAATGGATCCCAGTGAACAAAATGTTTATTTGTATTATACTGCTTTCGAAAGAGCCTCCTGAAACCAAGCCCTAGTTATTCAAGCATTAATGCTATTTCATCACACTGGCAAAAGTCAATAAATCAACATTCCGAGAGAGATAGAAGAAATTTAAATCGCTTTGAATCACAAAACCTTTATAAATTTTCATCCAGTGCGGTTCCCTTAACAGAGCTGAATTAGGTGCAACAAGTCGTTGTTTATTAATAATCATACAGATATAAGGTGATGTGGTACCGCGACCACCCAACCCCCCTCCAAACCAGCGACCAGGTTTCCATGAATGGGTTTGTATTAATTTTAAAATTTGCTGCAAGTCTTTCCAAGTTGCAGTGATCTGTAAGGAGGTTAAGCCAATGGTTTATTGAGATTTTGGAACTGTTCTTCCAGTTCAGCAGTGTAACTTTTTTGGCAATGGTAAGTAATATTAATATAAAAGATTTGAGGTGATTGGGTGCTGACCCTATCTGGACTAAGCGGTTAACGATGATAATGATGAGTGCTGAAAATGAAGAAAGGTCATTAAGTAGTGCTACAATGGGACATAAAGGGATGACAAGGCCCACAATCTCTGACAGCCTGTCCATGACCTCTGACCAAAACTGCTGGGTTGGGGGACAATTCCAGAAAGCATGATAGTAATTGACTGTTAAAGCTGGGCAATGTTGGGATTTATCACGGTGACTGAATCCCATATGGTGTAGTTTAGAGGCTGTAATATATGTTCTGTAAAGGGTTTTATATTGAATTAGCTAGAGGTCTGAATTGCTGGTCACAGAGAAGATGTCCCGGCATATATTTTGCCAGTTGTGATTACATGTTTCTTTTATATCTGAGGTCCATTTGTCAATTGGGAGTGAGATAGTGCCATCTTTTGAGGCTATAAGTTTATATATTTGTGATAACATTTTCTGACGTTTGAGGAGGTATAGTTTTAAGGGGGTGATTACAGAAATTTCCACTATTACTGTTTTCTTGAGAACATGTTTGGGTTGTATATACTCAAAGTGACAAAAATCTGGCATATTATATTTTTCTTTGATGTCATCAAAGGACATGAGCAAGCCATCAGAGAACAACTGTGCCAGGCTGGTTAGTCCTCTCTGCTTCCAGAATGAGAATATAAAAGGTTTGTTATTTATAAAAACATGTGATTTTTCCACAAAGGAGTTTGACCAGAGAGAAAGTGGCTGTAGTTAAGGATTTTGTTTGAATTCCACCAAGCATTTTTGTTTGAATTCCACCAAGCATTCATATACCAACCTTTTTTTTTATAGTTTTGTATATGAATGGAATACTATAAATGTCCAGTTCTTGAATGAAACTTTCCTAGATGTCTAACCACAGTTGGCTTGAGTTACTTGTCCAATGTCTAATGTAAAGTAGTTGGTGTGACAGTAAGAGATAGTAAGAGAAATTTGGGGCTCCAAGTCCTCCAAGATGTTTAGGTTTTTGGAGGGTAGCTAATTTGATTTGAGGCTTTTGGTGCTTCCAATAGAACCTAGGCTACTTTTACACAGCAGGTAAAAGTGGCCCAAATCTGCCTTTTTTTCTTCATATGTGACACACATGTCTGTCTGTGTGGAAGTGTGAACAGCAAAAACACATTGAATCTGACATTTTCAATTCCGCTTTGAGACACTTTCATATGTGGTACTGAAATCCGATACGTACCCGATCTGCGGCAATGTGACTCAGTCTGAACAGTCAGATCAGACTTCATGTGGTTTTTACGTCAATCCAAATTGACATTCGTCATAATTTCAGGAGCTTTACAGGATCTAAACGTCATAATTCCAGGAGCTTTACAGGCTCTAAACACACTGAATAACGTTGCCATGCAATATTACACAGGTAATGTTAGAAACACTCAGTTTGAAAGCTTATAACAGAAAATAAAAAAAGCAAAAGCAAAACAAATAAAAAAAACACAGCAGGTGTTTCTCTGTAAATTACACTGCTTTTCTTGGCCTACAGATCTTGACGCAACAGCTGATTCATCCTTCACCCGGACACATCTGAGCATCAGGACCCAAGCAACAGAATCATGCAGTGGAGGTGGAGGCACTGCTGTACAAGCATAGCTGGATTTCTAGTTTTGCTCTCGTGTGTGGGAGTGTTCCTCATCATCAGTGAATACAGTTTGCTGGCAGGAAAGAAAGACCACCAGGAGAATGATGAAACTCTCACACCACAGAAACTGCCCCAGAAGGAGTTGAACCACAGCGCGACCAAGCAGAACATGTGGAGAGAGGAAGCAACGTCCCCTTTTCCACCAAGGTCTGAGGGAAACCTCAGCTCCATTCTGGCAGGCTCTCTTCCACAAGAGCTGAAGAACTCTGTGGAGTCTATTGCTAGTTTCAGTGAGGAGATAATAGCAGAGAGTATACTTAAGGTAGAACCCTACAACTACATCATCAATGAAGAAGACAAGTGTCAGGAAAGAAATCCTTTCTTAGTGCTACTGATTACCACTGAACCCCAGAATGTTCAAGCCAGGGATGCCATTAGGCAGACGTGGGGGAATGAGAGCGTGGCTGAGGGCTTGGGATTTGTGCGGCTCTTCCTTATGGGCACGAGAGAAGGACTTGCCAACCAACTGCAGCGCTCCATAGAGGCAGAGTCTCAACAGTATCATGACATTATCCAGCAAAATTACATAGACTCGTATTACAACCTTACCATCAAGACACTAATGGGAATGCATTGGATAGCAACGTACTGCCCAGGGGCCAGTTACGCTATGAAGACGGACAGTGACATGTTCATTAATACAGAATACCTCATCCAAAAACTTCTCAATCCAAGCCTTCCGCAAAAACGAAAGTATTTCACTGGGTACCTCCTGAAAGGTGAGCCCCCAATCAGACAAAATGACAGTAAGTGGTACATGTCGCCGGAGCTGTACCCCGGCAACCTGTACCCTACTTTTTGCTCAGGAACTGGATATGTCTTCTCGGGCGACCTGGCAGAGCTGATCTACAGGACTTCTCTGAGCATAAGAAGGCTGCATCTTGAGGATGTTTACGTAGCGATCTGCCTGGCAAAACTGGGAATAGAGCCAGTTCCTCCGCCTAACAAATTCCTGTTTAATTTCAAGCGGGTCCCATACTCCAGCTGCAAATACAGCAATCTGATAACCTCTCATGGGTTCCTTCCCACTGAGATTATAAAGCACTGGCAGGACCTACAGAGGGACAAGCACAATGCCTGCGACAATACAAGTTTGCAGGCTTAGCCAAAAACAACTGGAACTGGAACACCTCTGGAAAATTTTCATCGGAACTAGGGCTGGGTGATACAGAAAGAAATCTTACCACGATAATTCACATTTATCATATCAGTCAATATTGATATATATCATCATAGAAATCAAATCACTGTTTCTGTTACACTTAAAGGTTCCTTTTTTCCTCATATGTGAGATGTGAAGATATCATGATCTCAAGATCTATTTTCCTTTAAATATTATTTTTTTTCCTGTTAGACGTTGAACATGAAAAATGTACTGTACAACATTATGCAGCTGTATTTCAAGTAAATAAAACAGGTATGTGCAATAAACTTCAATCTTAATTCTGACCAGTTAAAAGCTTCACATGTTACAGGACAACAGAAACAAAATGGACAACTAAATTCTTTGGTCAATTCTAAATAAATAAAGAATACAAAATGAATTTTTTTAAATTCTGGCCAGTCAAAGGCTTTCAGGTTTTACAACAGAACACACAAAATGTTTCGGTCAAATCCAAATAAATAAAATAAAATCCTAATTCTAAAATTCTAAAATGTTAAATCTAAAACTAAAATCTCAAAGCTTTCAAGTTTTACAGGAACGCACAAAGTAATTTTTTTGGTCAGTTTCCGATAAATAAAGTAGGTATTAACACAAAATAAAATCTGAAAACTCCCAATTCAAACTGTTTTAAATTTTTGGGAAACAAATCCACCAATGAATAGCCAAAAAAAATAAAACTTTCTGTATATATTCTCAGTGCATTTTCAAGCAGCTTTGTAAACAAAAGAGAACATGCTGTCAATGTTTTGGACCAGATATTACCCTACTACAGGTTGTGGGCAAGGAAGACAAGTCATATCTAGAAACATAGTAGTTAAACTGTCTTGGAATTTACCATCATGTTACCCAAAATAATTACCCTGTACTTTGGAGTGTGTACCTCACACTTACCTGGTTAATACCTAATGCTGTAAAAGAAGGCATTGTCAAAAGAGTTATTCCAGCACTACATCTACCATTATAGCTTGCTTTACTATAATTTAGGGATATAATGTATTTTTTTTTCATCTTAAAATCATGGAAAACTGAGAGAGTCCTATTGAATGAGCTGTTCTTATGACCTGAACACAGAGACCTTCTAAAGAATTTGGAAACTATTTTGTTTCCTGTTTTTACTTGTTTCTACGTGCAGACTGACACATTTGTAGCATCACTTGGTTCACAGTGACTCAATACAGTAAAGCAAACTTAAGGCAGCTCCAAACTAAGCTCAATAAATGTACACCATCTAAAGATGTTAAACTAGCCTTCCTGATGATGTAAGCTATTAGGTCACATCCTGGAACTACTGACTCTTCAATCCTGAGGCAAAGAAAATCTAGAACAGTTCGCTGAGTATTGTTATTTATTGTTACTTGTTACCTGGTGTGCTTCTCTAGTATGTGAAATACCCTTCTTGTATGTGCAGTACCTCCCTCTCCCTTTGCCCCAGTGTATTTCTATTTCTGTTTACAATTTTATATGTAGGGGCATACTGTTGTAGTATAAGAATTTCACTGTATTTTTGAAATCCCTGTATTCTGACATGACATATTAAACCAGTCTTGAATCTTGAACCTTTGCACAAGTAACCAATCTTTAACAGAAACATACTTTACACCTCAGTGTCTTTTTTGCCTCTCTGAACAAACAATTCAATAAGCTACCAGAGTGCATCTAACAATAAAAGCAGCATGGAGCTTCTTTTACACAGTAGAACAAAGACACTAATTGCACATGTTGATCAATTTTACTACCAGCAACGTGGACATGCACACTCACCAACTACTCTGGACAGCAGATTTTAAAGAGGAGTTTCACTTATTTCTGCATAATTACATTTGTCAATCAAACATGGATACAAACATGAAATACAAGCACAACGTCTTTTCAATGTGTTTGATACCGTTAGCAGTTCTGCCGTCTTCTTGCCCTTCAGGACCACTGCTGGCTAGATATTTTTTGCTTGACGGACTATTCTGAGCAAGCTGAATCTAAACAATGTCTCTCTTCTCTTTTGTAAAAATAAATCATTTTTAGACATTTTATGACCTTTAAAGTCTTTTATAAGACCTTATGAGATGTTTCTACCATAACCCTTTTACATTATAATACCTCCATGTGTAAAACTGTCTGAATCGTTTCGTGTTTCTCTCACCTTCCCGCTGCTCTGTAGAATAGTGGTCCTCATCCTCCACACCCGCTCTCTGCTGACGATATCTCTCGCTCCTCTGCTTCAGGGTGATGTCATCATCCAGGTCTGTCTTGATGGAACATAATTTTGGCCTTGATGGCAGCGATCTTCTCCACAGACATGGCCTTTGACAGCAACCTGGGGACAACAAGAGGGATTATAAAGCAGCTATAACATCAAGAACTGATAGGAGCAAAGTAAGATATATTGAGTCAAGAAAGCAAGTGAAAACCAGTTAATAAGAGCAAGCAAGCAAAGTTTATTTATATAGCGTTTTTTACAACAGGTGTTGTCACAAAGCAGCTTTACAAAAAAATGAGCATTACAGAGATCCGGGTCAAAGCCCCCATGAGCAAGCCAGTGGTGACAGTGGTGAGGAAAAACTCCCTAAGAGCAGGAGGAAGAAACCTTGAGAGGAACCAAGACTCAGAAGAGGAACCCATCCTCCTCTGGTCGACACCGGATAGCAAATATTGTTAGTATAAAGTATTACAAAACAGGGAAAACAGGTGAAGCAATGGTTAATTTGATTAGTTTTAGTTTATGCAGCAGGTTGAATAAAATTAGTTTATGCAGCAGGTTAGCATATCTCTGCAGCAGAGATCTGAATATGAATAAAATTCCCCTGATCATAGACTGCTTGTAAAAGAGCTTGGTTCATTGAAATCTATAAAAAAGTCTGAACAAATGTAAGGCTATTTTGCCGTTCAGCCAAATTTAACCAGCTCCCCCTGTGACCCAGAAGGATAAGCGGCTTAGAAAATGTAATGGGTTAGAACCCCGTTTACCTGTGCGTGGCGAAAGTGTGTAATCCACTACACTGTCTAACAGTCAAAAGCAAAAAGAACAGATTGCGGATTAAGACAGAAATGCATCTTGGTAATCAATTAGTCTAACACATTAAAAACAGAGATACACTGAAAAACTAGACCAGGTAAGCCTGTTGGGCCACCAGGCCACATGCTCCATCCTCTGCAACTTTTGGTAAATAAAGTCAGGGGCGAAGCAGCCATTTTAGAAGTGAGGGGGACACAGTTGTCAGTACAAGATACCCCTCAAACCCCTTAGCCCCTACGTGTAGGTTCAGTATTACTATTACAAAGTCTGTAGCAGTGTGTGCATTTTAACAGTCAAGCTGATTTGAGAGCTTGGGGCAGCAATATACAAACATACTCCACAGGGACTCAACCAGCTCACAAACATATGGTCCAAAATTCGTCTTTCAAAGTTTTTAGCCAGACAGACTTCCCAGGACAGAGCTGGCCCTCTTAATGACTCTGTCAAGTCTCTTGCTGTCTGCAGTTAATCTCCTAAGCAGGTAGAGTTTGCTCTGCACTAATGTTATCTGACCAGTCCAGTCTATTGTTGAAGTGAAAACCCAGGTACTCAAAAGAGTCCACTCTCTCAATGTCCCTTCCCTGAATGTTCACTGGTGGAGGGAGGAGACTGCGCCTGCGGAAATCTACCACTATCTCTTTGGTGTTCCCCGCATTGATCAGGAGGTGGTTCCTCAGACACCAGTCCACAAAGCCTTCAACAACCTTCCTTGTCCTTTAATCTGCTCAGATCATCACTCACAAGGACTGAACTGATCAACAAATCCGTGTTGTCTTCGACTCCGGTGCTGGGTCAGGGGGTTTCTCTCAATGATGTGCTGCTCAGAGGATCTGATACAAACAACGCTCTTGTATAGGTGCTTGTGAGGTTCAGGAACGAACCTGTGGCTATCACTGCCACACGTTTCACTGTTTTGTGGTGAAAGAGGCCCAGCGAGACTTTCTCTGGTTTCTGTGCTATCGCGAAAACAACCTCAACAGTGACACTGTGGACACTTCGACCACTGTCTATGGTCTAAGGAGAGCAGCCAGGAAAGAAGAAGATGACTTTGGCAGTGATGTGTGAAGGTTCATCTGGTGCGAGATTTACATGTTATTAACAAAACACACAGAAACAGATAAACATTTTATTGACAGTTCTTCCAAGGTGTAGGTTTGCGGTGTTTTGTTTTGAACTGGAATGTCCGAGTTGTTGTGTTCTTATATTTTGGCATCCAAAAAAATATTTGTTTGAAAATTTTGATTTATAAAGAGAACAAATATGTTCTTTATCCTGAGTATGTCATGAAATTTATATGTGTAGTCCACGGGTAGTGTACATGTTAACTTCAAATCTACTTAAAGTTGAGTAAAAGGTATGTTTCAAATATGTTGTCAACCTAGACGCACCTGTCTGTGCTTTTAAAGAATGCTGGCCCACCCTTTTTGAGGCAATAAAGTTAAGTGTCTTATTGGAATACCTCACAGGATCTCAAACCTGGTCCTAAAGCACTCCTTGCCTTGCATATTTTAGAGGAGGGTAAACACGAAAAAATGCAGCGCCTGTTGTACTCGGACCGGGTTGATATTTTTCTTAGATATTCCAGTGGAACATGTTTTGGGCTAAATGAAACATAATTTTATTTTGTGTAACACACGGCCACTCTTTTATACAACAGTTAAATAAATAAAGTAATAAATAAATAAACTGGGTCGTGAACACGGCATTTAACACGTTTTAATGTTCGCAGTTCCTTCCGCCAAATTATAGTTCCTTAACAAGCAGCTTGTTGCTATGTCAGAGTAACGAACTCCGCTCACTCTGCACAGCCGGCAGTTCGTTCTCCAGCTCCACACAGACCAACACATTAAACTCATTTCACACTCAGTTTCTTCTTGTCTTCTATTCTTGCTCAGGGCCGTTACCTTACTTCTTAGTTCCTTATATGATTTATACGAATGCTGCACTAATTCCTGTCTTACTCTGGTTTTGGGTCAAATAAAACCAACTTTAGTGCCTTTTACTGCACTCTCAAAATCCACTTTTTACTGCAAAATTTTTTACTGACTAAAAATTTTACACAAAGAAAAATACAAAGAAAATGCATTAAGAAAACATCAGACATGTATC